TCAGTCTCAGAAAAGACTGCTATGCCCAGATTTTTGGGTTCTATTGCTCTCCTTGTGTAGTTCCTGTCCCATCCAGGTCTTTCTATCTCCCCCTTCTTTCGTAGGATTCCTTGCACTCTGCCCAAAGTTTGGCTATGAGTCTCAACATCTGCCTCGATACCCTGCAGGGTAGAGCCTTTCAGAGGCCCTCTGTGATAGGCCCTTGTCCTGTTTCCTGTTTTCTCCCTCTTCCAATGTCTGTCCCATTTGCCTTTCTGAGTGAGGATTGATCATCTTACCCTGGGTCCTCCTTGTTTAGTTTGTTTAGGTGTACAGATTTTAGTATGTTTATCTTATATTATATTAGTCATCAGGGAAATGCAAATCAAAACAACCCTGAGATTTCACCTTATACCCATTAGAATGGCTAAGATTAAGAACTCAAGTAACAATACATGCTGGAGAGAATGTAGAGAAAGGGGAACCCTCTTCCATTGCTGGTGGGAATGTAAACTTGTACAACCACTTTCGAATGCAATCTGTGCTTTCTCAGAAAATTAGGAATAGTGCTATCTCAAGATCCAGCTACACCACTCCTAGACATATATCCAAAATATGCTTAAGTATACAAGGACATTTGCACAACCATGTTCGTAGCAGCTTTTTTTGTAATAGCCAGAATCTGGAAATAACCCAGATGCCCCTCAACTGAGAAATGGATACAGAAATTGTGTTACATTTACACATTGGAATACTACTCAGCAATTAAAAACAAGGAAATCATGGGATTTGCAGGCAAATGGTGGAAACTAGAAAAGATCGTCCTGAGTGAGGTATCCCAGAAGCAGAAAGACACACAGGGTATATACTCATAAGTGGATATTAGGCACTTTCCTTTCTGCCACCACCAACCATACCATCCAGACTGAAGAAGACCGAGAAACTCTAGATGCCATGTATCAGTAAGCACCACAAACACCTAGGGGTCCACAGGAATGCTGGAGGAGGCCTCATCACAGGATCAACTTCAACAAACACTATCCAGGTTACTCTGGGAAAGTTGGTATGAGGTGCTACCACTTAAAGAGGAACCAGAGCCTCTACTCAACTGCCAGCCTGGATAAATTGTGCTCACTGGTCAGTGAGCAGACATTGGTCAATGCTACAAAAAGCAGGACTGGAGTTGCTCCCAGTAAGATCTGGCTACTACAAGTTCTGAGGCAGGGCAAGCTCCCTAAGCAGCCTGTCATCTTGAAGGCCAAATTCTTCAGCAGAAGAGCAAAAGAGAAGATTTAAGAGTGTTGGAGGTGCCTGTGTCCTGGTGGCTTAAAGCTAACATTTTTAGAAAGAAGGAAAGAAGGAAAGAAGGAAAGAAGGAAAGAAGGAAAGAAAGAAAGAAAGAAAGAAAGAAAGAAAGAAAGAAAGAAAGAAAGAAAGAAAGAAAGAAAGAAAGAAAGAAGGAAGGAAGGAAAGAAGGAAGGAAGGAAAGAAAGAAAGAAAGAAAGAAAGAAAGGAAGGAGGGAAGGAAGGAAGGAAGGAAAGAAAAAGAAAGCAGGCCGCATGAGCACATTTTTCATTCATCTTTAATCTTATTAGAGTCATAACAATTCTGTGAAGATTTAATTAATGATTAATTGACCTAAGGTTTTGGCAAATGTATAGTTTTTATAATGCTCACAGATTTTCAAACAGATAGGAATAACCTTGAATTTATGAATCAATTTCTCTACATGCTCTTTGTGTGTATGTTTGTGTGTATGTGCATGCCACTGCATGTAACTCGGAGTCATAGGATCTCTTGTGTCATTTGTATCTCTCATTCCACCGAGTGGCTCCCAGAAGTGAATCAGGTCCTCAGGTGTGGCTACAAGCCCCTTTACCCTCTTATCTACCTCTCTGGTCTACATTTATGACTTAATTGAAGAATTGATGGCATCCATTTATGATCTCTTATTTAAAAAGATCTTATATACATTTACAGCAACTATACAGGCTTTTTGTATGTTGGTAGAAACCCATTTTTATAAAATAACACAACAATCACAAAACAGGCTTACAATTACTCTTGGAAGCTATCAAATTGTGAGATAAAAATCACAATCTCAATGGTAAACTTTGAAATTTATGTCGACCAAGAACTTTGTTCTGACCTTCAGTCTTCAGGTACCAAAGTTACCCTGTGGCTTATGATTGAGAGTTGTGTGTATATGCATGGGCACGCGTACACGCACGCACACACACACGCACACACACACACGCACACACACACATACTTTGGAGGGGTGTGGCAGGAATCCAATTCCTCTGATTCTCCTGGGCACTGAGGCAGCCTTCTCTATCCACATAGCCTCACAGAGTTCTTAGTAAATATAGTTCTACTGACTCCTGGTTCTCCCTCCATGGGGCTCAGAAGTTAGAGATACAAATACCAGCAATTCTTTCAATTGCCTTCATGCTGCCTTGATCTTTTTGGCACACACACACTTTATAAGTATGTAAAATTATCTGTGCTTCGGAGGGCTATAGAGAAAAGTGCTTTATGATATTGTGTCACTATTACGTTCAACTCTGAAGAAAAAGAAATTCTAACATGGTATTGCTTGGGATCCTCAATTGTTCATGAATACTCACTGTGAATTGAAAACTGAATAAAGGCACCATCCATGCTTTCAAGGTATTTCTGTCTCACAAGACAGAGAGGCCAACAATTAGCTAGGATGGAATGTAATGCCGTATTGTATGTGACATTCGCTCCAGGAGGCCAGATGAGGCTAGCTAGAGACAGTTTCACGGAGGATTCGAAAGGTGGAGGCTTGAAGTATGAATGTGCTGGGTGAGCTGGGGACAGTGTGAAAGGATGGCTGTTCAAGGGAGAGTCACAGTGATTTAAAAGTTCAAAGCAACTGGAAGGGTACTGAGAGGATCCTGTGTAGTGAGTGAACAAGAGGGTGAGAGTGTCTAGAGAGCCAAGGCCAGTTTGAAAGGCCATGTGTGCTGGTCTGAAGAGTCGGAACATCATTCACGTGAAAGCCCAAAATGTGGTAGCAAATGGCAACCGTGCTAGAAAAAAAATAGTAGCTGTGGTAATGTCATTGAGAAATCACAGCTTTCAGTTAGGTGTGACACTTTCTAAATGGATCCTGAAGCAAGCACTGAGATCCCAGAAGGACATTTCAGATTTCCAGGGACCTCTTGTGGGGACTCAGTTTTACTCAGGATGTTTTGATCTTCCTTAGGTGAGAAACACCTGACAAAACTTACTTTCCGTGGGTGGATCTGGTGGGACTCTATTTCTGAAGAGCAACTAGTTTTTTTGCTTTGGGTTTTGTTCGGAAGCTGGGTGGCATTTGTAGGAGGGCTTGAGTTCCACAGGAAGTCATTTGCAACACCACAATGAGCAAGTGCTTACCAGAAAAGGCGAGAAATTATTAGAGCATCACCCAAGCTTTGTTTCCCCATTAACAAGCTATGTCTCAATCCTCTTAGCAAACACGAAAAGGCTAAGATTTCAGACTCTCTGTGGCTCTGAAATCAAACATTGTCCCCAGGCCTGAGGGAAGGCATTTAAACGGACGCTCCAGCCCAGCTAACCAAATTGCCTGTAAGTGGACAGGTGATGTTGAATGTCAGCTGGGAAAGAAGTGACTTACTATAAACTCCAGGCATCTCTCACTTCACTCTCAGGAAATGTAACTTGTATCATATTTCTCTTCCTGGAAGATGTTCAGCGAAACAGAGGCCTCAGTGATACTGGTAAATACGGAAGTTCTTTATAAACCCTACCTCACACTTATTCAGAATGGAAGAATTAATTTGGAAGCCTACTCTTAATATTTAAAAATAGAATTTTTTCCATGTGGCCATTCATTTTAAAAGGAAAAATAAATAAACAAATGTCAGTCTTGTTAAATGTGATATGGAAACTTGCTTTAGCTCTACTGAAATAGCACTTTTTAAAAGGCAGCTTTACCTTTAGGCTCTGGGCTATGAAACTGGTTGAAGAATTAACATTGGGACTACTGTAATTGACAATTAAGCCTTTTGAATATGTCACTGTTTGGACATAAATTACACTTGATTTGGGGAACATAATTTATAAAGTGAAATTTTTCTAGAAAAAGCTATGGTTTCTTTCTTGACGTTCATGCGCACTGAAAATTTGAAAATGTGCAAATCTTCACTCTTTTCTTGTATTTTTGTCCTTGCCTCACATGCTTTATGTTAGCGAGGAAACAGACATAAAGGAAATTGCAGCTAAGTTTATTTTCCTTATTAATCTCTTGCTTTGGGGTTTGGTTTTATTCTTTCCTCTGTGAGTGAGAAAGAGATGCTATTTGCCTCATTGCAGTCTATGATTCCCTTAGGAATACAGAAAACGACATCTGTTTGACCTTTCTATCCAACAAAATTTGTTAATGTACCAAGAAATATAAATGTATGGCTTTTCACCATGCTCTTTATTTTTCCCATCAGAAAACCATCAAAGCTTGTGATGAAGAATAAATCAATCTGCCATATACTTCCTTCTTTCCATAAAACAACTATGTCGATAAACATTTGTGTGTATTTTAGAATAATGAGTGGTTTTCAATGTTATTCTTCCTGAATTTGCCACTTTTGATGCTTACCACCTGGAAAGGAGGTGAAAAGTGAAGTCTGTCCCCTTGAGATAGTCCCAACTAGTTTGTCATTGGTTAGCTAGCCAGCAATGCCCTCCAATTTGTTTAGTTGAAACCTTCCATCATTGAGAGATGTCATAAGTCAACTTTGTGGTAGGTAGCGATGCCAGACCCTGGTTTGGGAATTCAGTAGGTGACTTCAGCAAATGAGTGGATGGATGGACACTGATTTGCATACAGGGTAGTGAGTCAGGATCCGTGCAAAGGGCTCTCCCCTCAGTCATTACTCAAAACTGCTTTCACATCTTAAAGAGTCACTTGTCAACTTCGTCTGCTCTGGCAACCACACAGATCCAGTGTGTGTTTGGTGGATTTTCAAGGGAGGGAGAAAATGGCCAAGCAATTCTCAAGAGAGAGAGAAAGTGGCCTTCCTAATGAATGGTAGATCTGCCCCAAAGTGGCTTCTCTGTTGTTCGTAGGAGTGCAACAGTCCCTGGGTGGGAAGGACTACTATCTTTAAAAACTAAGCCACCAATCCTATGGATTGTTGTCCAGCTAATGCCACCTTGGATGTGATCACTAAGACCTACAGCTGCTTGACCCTTGACCTCTTGACTGTGTTCACCAAGTCTCCTTATCAGGAACTCATTATTTTATGAAAACCCAAACCAAGTTTCTGTTCAGAGGACCCAGGCTCCAGCCATTGCTTCCATATAAAGAAGGGTTTTTTATGTGAGAAAATAAAATTTTGTTTTTTTAAGAAAATAATTATTCTTTTTTTTTTTTTTTAGGTTTCCATTCTATTAGTTTTCTTCCTAGGATGTTACAATCCCAACCTATTAATTTTCTTCTATAAGACACTTCTCATCAAAACTCTTCAATACTATTTGTTTTACTATATAACTACTGATATATACATATATAGATGCATACATATATATGTATTTATATATATTTACTGCCCTTGAGATTTTTCTCTCCTCCCTGAAAACTGAGTTACTATTAAAGTGCTTGTCCAAAATAAACAAATAATCTCTAAGGTGTATAAGGTGTATATTTCTGATTTTATATTCCTCAGCATGTATCTTTCCTAGAACCCAACAGATTGTAATTAACCTATCTTAATGATATTACTGTGCATTTTGTGATACTTCCTGGTCTGTGCTCAGATAACAGTAAGGGAAGGAACTGTAATTATCAACCCCTCAGGGATACCAGGCACCTAGGATGTACAAATGTCACAGTGAATATTTTCCTTGGAGACCAAATATGATTTGTTGTCGTTGCTAATATCGTTGTGTGATTGTAAACATTGAAAGGAAACTTTCTTAAATTCTGTAAAACTAGTATTTTATATTAATTTATACATCCCCCAATGCTCAGTAAAAGAAATAGAGACTTCTTTTTCTCCATCAGAATCTGAAAAGATTAATTTTAGGTCAGGTCAATAATGACGAAGAGAATCTCATTTGTAACCAAGAGGATGCAAGCAACTTGATATCCTGGAAAAAAAAAAAACTGATCTTGAAATAGAAAGTCATGAGTTCAAGTCCTATTGTGATCTCTCCCTGGCAGAGAGATGGAAGGGTAGTCACTTGATTTATCACTTAGGAACTGAGACAGTTTATATAAGTTACTGTCAGGATTTTCTTTAAAAGTACAGTATATATTCTATGTTTTCATAGTTCATATGTTTCATAGTTCACATGACTGAAGCATTTACAAGAATGGAGGAATGCTACTGAATAACATTTTTGTTGAAATCTTCTTGGAACAGCTGTTAATGTTTTCTCTATGGCGGGCTTAAATCACTGTAGGGATTTTACATTTCTTTTTGGAAGTGACCGTCAAATGGGTTTGTCTTGGATTTTGTTTGTTGGTTTGTTTCTTAGTATTTAAAGAGCCTTCAGGATCACCTGGTACTTACTTGTTCCTTCTGCTATTTTCCTGTTGAATAGAATGTGTTACAGTTTCAAAAGGTTAAACAAGTAAACATAGATATGCTCATTCAGCTCGTGGGACAGGATTGCAGGCACTGTGAGTTTCTGCAAATGGCTGGGTCACTGTCCCAATGGTGTTTTTAACAAAAACAAGATGGCTACAACTTTTTTTTTTTCATCATGGAAATAATTTTACAGAAGTGGGAAACAGGCAATACATGTGTAAAACAGTGAATTGTTTGAAACCCAGAAGACTGTGAAGAAACTAGAGCAAGGTGATGTGTTGCTGACTGGAACCAGGATGACTTCTTAGAGGACATGACATTTGAAAGTACACATGAATGATGATGAGTGTAAATGAAAAGTCTGAGAAGACAGCCCCATAAAATGGCACAGAAGATAACAAAGGCCAAAGGCCTCAAGGATCACAGTGTACTCAAAGAATCAAAATCCAGGACATATAGCTGGTCATAGCAGCCACACAGAATCTGGTGTAAGGGACAATGTGTCAGAGGCAAGGCCGTGTCAGCTTTGGGGCCAGCACCAGGAATGTGTACTTTACTCTGCAAACTCGAACACGCTTGTTCTAAAGGTTTTAAGTAGCAGAGGTACCTGGTCTGATTTTTAAAGTTTGTTATTCTATTCACTATGTGCAATCCAGACTGAAAAAGCGTGAAAGCGGAACATACAATCATGAGATTCCTACGGAGTGATGGTGACCACTCGGACTCAGGCCAGCATAGTGCAGATGGAGAAGAGGAGATAGAATTGAGGTCTGTTTCGGTAGTGGAAGGAGTAAGACTTGCCAATGGATAGGGTTGATGGTGAAGGAAGGGCAAGACTTAAGGAATCTGACCATCTGACTGGAGCACCTAGGCAAATGGCTATTTCTCTGTTGGGTTATAGAATGTTGATAGAAGAATGTGGTTGGCTAGAAAAGCAAGAAGTAGAACAAAAGGATGCTTTTGTTGACCTGTAAGTAGACCTGTAAGTAGAGATACCCAGTAGGAATACAGGCATGTGAGTCCAGACAAGGTTGACAAGGGCTCTCTCTCTCTGTCCTCCCCCCTTCCATGCCCCTCTTTCACACTCTTCTCCATACTTCAAGGTAAGATTATGAGTGCTCAGATCTTGTAATGGTGCTCTCATTTTGGTCTGGCTAACTCAAGGGTGTTTTGGACTCCAATTTTGTTCTTCCCTCTGTGTTCTGTACTAGTATTTCTTTCCTTTGTAATAATCCCTGCAGACCTGAGCTCCGTGCTTTCCAAAGTGAGATCTGAGTATTAGATAACCTGGTAGCAACATGTGACTGGTTTTCAAGGATTAGTGTTGAGTAAGTTCTAGTGTTAACAGAGCTCGCATTTTATAAACACAAGAATTATCCAGGGAGGAAGAGCAGCCTAGCAGTTGATATTAGATGCTTCGGCTTTCAGTGAAAACACTGAATAATTAGACAGTGCTGGCATTCCCCAACACTTTTTGACCTCGTACCATAGATTTAAATGACTTTGGATATACAATTCTATTTCACAGTAATTAAAGGTACACAGAGTGATCAAAACCATCCTTCATGTCTGGCCAAAAGATCTCCTACAGTACACAAACTATCTGAACTTTATTATCTTATTTGTGTTTCCTAATGGCTTTAAATAAATTTTGCCTAGCAAGAAATCTCATTAATCAGGAAGGAAAAGAAACCACTTAGAGAACACAGTTAATGTAAAATTTGGATAAATATAGTCTATTCTAAAGTTCTGAACAGTGAATTATTTCATGGATACTTAAAAATGACATTTTTAATGCCGTTTCATATGTCTTAGTGTTTTGTCATTTTAAGTATGTGGAGAAAATATTCACTCAGGTACATTTTCATTTAAAGGATTTTTTTTTCCATCTTTTCTGATGCATAGTGTTTTCTCCCATATAAAGTGGAAATTACAAACTTAGTGACTTGTTTTTGCCTACTATAATAGAAAAAAATGTACGGATTGTTCTGCTTATCAGTGTTTAAATAAATTGCTTCTCAAGTTGCATATTAGTACATGTGACCTTTTGGAGGATTAGGAAGAGGTGAGAGTGTAGTTTGTATTATCTCTCTATTGTCTAGATCTCTGAAAACAAGTTAACTTACTGGTCATTTTAAGGGTTGGTACTATTTTTTTTTCCAGATAGAAACAATTGTGTTTTTGTTTGTTTGTTTTTGTTTGGTTTGTACTTTGTTTTGTGTTTTTGTTTTTGTTTTTTGTTTTTTGTTTTTTGTTTTCAGGATAGGGTTTCTCTGTATAGCTCTGGCTGTCCTGTAACTCGCTCTGTAAACCAGGCTGGCCTGGAACCACACTCAGCTCAGTTGTGGTTTTTAAATGATCATTAATAGGATTCACACTCTTTGGAAAAACTGACCAAATAGAGAACATATAAAGAGAAAAATGAAATCTTTCTCCATTATGACACCCAAAGGGAAACATTGTAATACTCAGATTTTTAGAAGATGTATTGTTGGCTGGGGTCACTACCCCCAAGTTAACAAGTTCTCAGGCATGAGGTTATTTTCTGCTCTCGCTGGAGGCCATGCTTAGTCATGTAACTTCTCCCCGGCAGCTTCACACCATTTCCTTTCTCTGTGTGATTATTGGGGGCTGCTGTACAGAGAGCAGAAGAAAACTAAAGAAAGTTGCAACACTGAAATAAATGACAAGTTCAGCGTCATTCAGGGCATGTAAATCGCAAGACTTGGGAGATACTGTGGATTCCACCTACATTAACTGTGCTCTGAGCAGCCAGCACAAATGGGACGCTGTGGGAGCTGTTTTCCTTGGCTCCTCTGGATAATTCGGAATAGCTTTAATTTCACTTTCTATGACCATTAGTCATTTAAATGACTGATTTTCTATTGATTGTTGTTAATTGGGTATGCTTGCATCCTCACCTGTCCGTAAATATTTAGGTAACACAAACAGATGTGAAGAAAATAGACATAGGAAATACATCTTGGATTAAATTCAAAGTTCCTTTCAGCCCTCATGTGTAGGTTAATATTAATGCATGTGAGTAAAATTTATATTGATGGTATTGAACTGGAAGCAATGAATATACAATAGGGCAAAGGCAGAAGACATTCCATTGATAATTTATGGCATAGTCTATATGTATATTCATTTTAGTAAAGCTTAAAAATATTTTTCTTAATGGGAATATCACTGAATAAGCAGCAGATAGAATTTATTATAGGAAATTACACTCCATTCAAAAACATTCAGGCTGCATATCTTGGACATAGCAAGCTGTCATTATATTTCTCTGGTAACACACAAGTAATCCAATATGGCTCCTTTTATAATAGAAACTTTGGCAAGGTCCAGAGAAATTATTCTGTGTCACATCAAGTGTTTGTGTCTGTGTCCCATAAGCAAGAAGCCAAGTTGGTAGGAGAAGATATTGATTGTTTTTAGCATTTTATTTTTAAAATACAGAATTTTTTTTCTGTAAAACTTACATTCTTTGCAAGCAAAAAAATCAAACATTTGTTTTTGTTCTTGAAAACTGAATATAAACTTGTGAAAGGGAAATATGATAATTATAGAGATCTTCAGGCACTAGGAATGCACACTAGAGACATTCCTTCATATTTTGAGTGTGTAATTACTACAGATTAATTATGCTGTCTAGCCAGTTTTGTCACAAGAGAAACTTCAAGATACAAAAACATTTTAAACCTTAAAATTAGATTGTAAATTACTGAAAAGAATCATGCTGAACGTTCATTATGAAGTATTAAAGTTTCATGCTGAAATTAAGCACGCCTTTCCCTATTTCGTTACTCGATCACTTATTTCTTTAACAGAAAGTTATCAGATGGCATGTTGAAATGCTGATTGACTTTGTGGCAAATATAATAAATTCCGTCTGATAATAAACTGTGGTGAATATAATAGACACTATGTATTTATCCAGGACCCTCTGAGCAGACCCCTGGGATGTTATAGCTGAGTCCCAGGGACCCTCTCTTTCTTGCCCTCCCCCCCCCCCAGCACCAGTATTACAAATTCAAGACATTTTCCTTGGCTTTAATGTGGGTATTGGGATTGAACTCATATCCCCTTGTGTATGTTCCAAACAAATAATTTCCTGAGCTATCTGTCTTGCTCTTTTAATTTTTAATCTCTTATATTTTCTTTTTATGTTTAAAATCCATAGGTGTAACTACATATGTATGAACGTCTATCAATAATTATAAATCAATGTTGATAGGTATAAAAAGGAGCATTCTGTATGAAGAAAACACAATACAAGGAAGAAGAAATGGTTATATAGGAGCAAAGTACACACATATATACATACATAATTGAAATTAAATTGCCATTAATCTAAATCAGTGTTGTAAATCTATAATGTTAGGTGTAATACTTAGAGCAGTCAGAAAGAAAGTAACACAATCAATATATTTTTTTAAGAGGAGTAAATGACACTGTAGTATAAATATTTAACACAAGTAATGGAAGAATTAAAGAAAACACAAAATAAGTGGAAAACAAACAGCAAGTGATAAGTATAAATCCTATCTTAGTGATAATTATATTAACTGTAAATATTTATAAATGCAAATAATTATCAAATGGGTTTAAAAACATAATACGTCTATCTCCTATCAAAAACAGATATACTTTATTGTTAAAATTTTAGTAAAAGAATTCATTAAAAGTAAAAAAACAGTATGCCACTCAACCTAAATTAAAATATTGCTTTAACAGCTATACAAATGTCAGAATGAATATTTTTACAATTTATCATTTTCATAATCTTAATACATCTAAAGGAGATAGCAATAATCATTATATATGCATTCAACAACAAAACTCTAAAATCCACAAACACTAACAAAGTTGAACAGAGAAACATATAATTCAATAAAATTTGTGGAAAACTTCAGTATCACGTATAAAGACTAAAGGGCCATTAGATAGAGAATTCTCAAGGAATAGAAAACTTGAAGCCTACGAGATAACTTGGTATATTCATTCCTGAAGTAGGAAAATACATGTGCTTCTCAACTGGGCATGGGGCCCTGTCCCGAACAGGCTGTAAAATACGTTTTGAAAATTCAACTGTTTCATATATATATTAAGTATGTTTCCCAATCATAGTAGACTCAGAGTGGAAAGCAGCAAAAGAGTTCCGATGTAAAAACATGTCCATGCTAAATACCATACAGTTAACCCATCAGTCAAACATGCTAAGTAAGATTCATTAATAGAAAACACAATTTTTTTTTCAAAAATTTTGCTACAGATAACTCAATGCTTATCTGATCATATTTAGCACTGCTATGCTAGGAATAATGAGAAAAGCATAGGAAATATAGCCAGACTTTGAGATCTTGATTGGAATGAACTTTAATAACTATCTAGAGAAAAAGAGACAAACAGACATCCAGAGCACAGAAGCAATAAAGGCAAGCTCTTCCTACCCTCACCAAGCCCCTCCCACCTTCCCCATCCTCTTGGTGTTTGTTATGAAAGCAAAGCTGGCAGAAGACTATGAGATCCAGACCATGTTCTCCTTGAACATAACCACGAGCTCAGAAGGGGAGCCAACATCTGGCTCATAGAATCCACAGTATTTTTAAATGTGGCTTTAGTGAATGGAAGTAAAGATGGAGGTGTCACCAATGAAGAGGTGAGACCTGAGTCAAGGAACAATTTTATTAAGCCCCTGTGTCTTGGTGAAGATAGGAAGTAGGAGTCCCAGAAGTGTAAAGTATCACCAATGCCTTGAGATATAGAGTTGGCATTGATCTAGGATCTGCAAATCAGAGGCAAGATATTTTTTAAATAATTAATTAATTAAAAACTTAAATTTAGGAATATGTTTTTTAATTTTAATTTTTATATTAATTACAGTTTATTCACTTTGTATTTGAGCTATAGCCCCCTCCCTCATTTCATCTCAATCCCACCCACCCTCCCTCATCTCCTCCCATGCCCCTCTCCAAGTCTACTGATAGGGAAGGTCCTCCTCCCCTTCCATTTGACCCTAGCTTATCAGGTCTCCTCAGGACTGGCTGCATTGTCTTCCTCTGTGACCTGGTAGGGCTGTTCCCCCATCAGGGTGAGGTGATCAAAGAGCCAGCCACCGAGCTCATGTCAGAGACAGTCCCTATTCCCCTTACTAGGAAACCCACTTGGACACTGAGCTGCCATGGGCTACATCTGTGCAGGGGTTCTAGGTTATATCCATGCATGGTCCTTGGTTGGAGTATCAGTCTCAGAAAAGACTGCTATGCCCAGGTGTGTCTTTCTGCTTCTGTGATATCGCACTCAGGATGATCTTTTCTAGATCCCACCATTTGCCTGCAAATTTCACGGTTTCCTTGTTTTTTTATTGCTGAGTAGTATTCCATTGTGTAAATGTACCACAATTTCTGTATCCATTCCTCAGTTGAGGGATATCTGGGTTGTTTTCAGATTCTGGCTATTATGAGTAAAATTGCTATGAACATGGTTGAACAAATGTCCTGTTGTATACTTAATCATATTTTGGATGTATGTCTGGGAGTGGTGTAGCTAGATCTTGGGGTAGCACTATTCCTAATTTTCTGAGAAAGCATCAAATTGATTTCCAAAGTAGTTGTACAAGTTTACATTCCCACCAGCAGTGGAGGAGGGTTCCCTTTTCTCTACATCCTCTCAAGCATGTGTTGTCACTTGAGTTTTTGATCTTAGCCATTCTGATGGGTGTAAGGTGAAATCTCAGGGTTGTTTTGATTTGCATCTCTCTGATGGCTAAGGACATTAAAGTGTTTCTTTGTCATTCGATATTCCTCTATAGATAATTCTATGTTTAGCTCTGTACCCCATTTTTTAATTGGATTACTTGATTTGTTGCTTTTTAACTTCTTGAGTTCTTTATATATTCTGGATATTAGGCCTCCGTCAGATGTACGGTTGGTGAAGATCCTTTCCCAGTCTGTAGGCTGTAGTTTTGTTCTGATAAAGGCAAGGTATTTTGAGACAGCTCTCAGTGTGTCCTCATGGCTATGGTCCTTCCAACTGATCATGTGATAATCTCCAACAGCTATCGTCTTGCTTTGGCTGTTAATAAGAATTTTAAACTAATTTTGTTTTCCATATTAGGTTTTTCCATTCATATTATGTTGTACTGATTTTAGCCATCTTAACATTTCCTTATTTTGAAGCAATTTATGTCACTTCTTTACATTTTCAGAACAGTTCTCTACTTTCAACTGACTTAAAGGAGCAGCATCGGCTGGCTATGGGCCTTCCTTTTGTTATCTTTTAAAGTTTTACGGTGTTGTACACCGCATGAGAAACCAGCTGACGTTTGTGTAGTTCTGAGTTTACTAACTGCTGCTCACCGCCCTGGCATTGTTCAGCTTCTCTGTTATTGGTCTGAGCCGTATTTATGAAAAGTGTGAGGAACTGCCAAAATTTTAAAGTAAACTTTTTAGGTTGAACTGTAGACTCTTGGCTTCTTTGGAAAAATTAGATGAACCGGCAACACTGAGTCTATGATCCCGTATGGTACCAGCTGGCTGGTACTAAATAACAGCTGTCCCTAAAGATGGACTGGGCTCGGTTGTCCACAGTCCTCACGTGTGTCTCCTACACAAGGACCAGCGTCACCATTATTATCTCACTGCCTTGTTCTTCATAGAGAAGTATAAAAGAGATATGAGGAAGTGGATATATTTTGATATGTACAGCTATATCAAAATGGGGAAAGGCAAGATTGGGGGCCGTGTTTTAGATCTGAAAACTGCCAAGCTCAGTTGATTTATTGATTTGCTTACATTTATTATCTACCCCGTGTAGGCACTGCTGGCTGTAGTTGCTAAGGACAAATGGGGTGAGGGTGTTAGACATTAGCGTCCTATTTGTCCTTAGCAACTACTTTTCTCTCCTAATACCTATCAAGAAAGCCCACTTTCATTTTTGGTAAAGCACTGCTGCTGGTCTGAATGCGGTGGATTCTGAGGCTCTTCTGTGTTAGAACACCCCTCTAAATAAGAAAGCAACATAATACTATAGCCTTGCCCACTTGTTCACATATCCCAGTCTTTGACAACACCACATCAGACGGCTACAAGAAGGGAGGGAATGAGAATAAAAACTACATATTAATGCTGACATGGCTGCTTCCATATTTCTAACAACTGGAAAAAAAATGAGTAATAAGTTATAAACTCATTGAGAATAGCTATGGCTGAGCAATTGTATTCCCCAGAGCTTCATTTTGAATTTCTTCCCTGGCCACCTTCAGCCTTCCCTCAATAGTTATTTGTTTTCTTCCCATAGTAAGATATTTCCCAAAGGCCTTCCTGAGGAGTACTCTGTAGCAGTCGCGTTTCGGGTTCGAAGAAGCACCAAGAAGGAACGGTGGTTTTTATGGCAGATTTTAAACCAGGAGAATATGCCACAGGTAAGATAACAGTTCATTTGATTAGGTGGGGTGGATCTCTGTTCTGTGTACCCAAATCCGGAAACAGACGTATCAACCAAATGTTATGTTGTTTAGAGGAATCATCAGTAGAGAAATGTAAGCATTGTAAGTAGCCCTGATAAAAGATCCGTGATGTCCAAATCTTCTGGATGAGAGGTTCTTTGGTAAAGAAGCTGACTACCCAGGATGCTTCATGCTAACATATTTGCAACAAGGTACCTGCTCTTTTTAATCCACCAATATAGCAAGGCACAGGTACCGTCTCACATGTTTAGCCAGTTCTTCAGTTATGGCATTGTACACATGCAGCCTTCATTTGAGTACTTTACTAATTTTGAAGTCGAGTTTTCAAGCCAGACAAAGACATTCTGTGCATTTGTCTTATCTTTTTTCTTTAGATTTCTATAGTGATCGATGGCACAAAGAAGGTGATAGAATTTATGTTCCGAGGTGCTGAGGGAGATCTGTTGAACTACGTTTTTAAGAATCGAGAACTCCGCCCTCTCTTTGATCGTCAATGGCATAAACTTGGCATTGCTGTGCAGTCCCAAGTCCTATCTCTTTATATGGATTGCAACTTAATTGCCAGTCGGCACACAGAAGAAAAGGACTCTGTGGATTTCCGTGGAAGAACGGTCATTGCAGCACGGGCTTCTGACGGCAAGCCTGTGGACGTAAGTCACATCACTGATGTCAACGGGGGTCTTCCGGCATTCCTAAGAAAAAGCAAAATATGTTGTTAACACTGGCTTCCCGGGACTGCAGATTTCACTCCATAGACAGAGTTCTTGCATGACCTGCGTGACACATGGATGTGATCACCTGCACACATAAACCAGGCCTGGTAGTTTGTAGTGATGTGTACCCCCAACCCAGTTTAAGGCCAGGTGGGCTACATAAGACCCAGAGGCAGACACGCAAGGAAGAAGGAAGGCAGGAAGGATGGCAGGAAGGAAGGAAAAAAGGAAGAAAGGAAGGAAGGAAGGAAGGAAGGAAGGAAGGAAGGAAGGAAGGAAAAGAGCAGTGAAGGGAAGGGAGAGAGGGAGGAAGGGAGGAAGGGAAGAAAGGAAAGAAGCAAGCAAGCAAGGAAAAAAGCTACTTCTTCCTTTATTGTCACACACACACACAAAAGACCTCCCTCTCATCAATGCTTATTTTGCCATTAGATATATAAAGAATATATAGTCCTAACTCTATTTTCACATATAATTATGTTCTATTTTCACCCGCATTTTCCAGTCAGCAAATTTAAAATAATTGAATCATGCCTTTAAAAAAAGTAATATTATTAAGAGTAACTCTTAGTGAAAAATTGAAAATAAAACATAAGATGTATAAGTTTGGCCAAACCTTTATTTTTTGAATAAAAGAATTAGAAAAAAAAAATGAACTTTAAATGGGTCCAGACTATCTGATGTTTTCATTCAAGAACAATAGGCAAATCAGACAAGCTCCCTATAGCAATTCCATTGCACTTCCCACAACTCATGATGTCGTTTTAAAGTTCCTTTGGATGAAATGCATTAAATCTATCAGTGGGTTGTTTGGATGAGAAGGCTTGGCCAGAAAAAAACTCTTTTAGATGAAAAAGTCCTTTAAAGATTACGTTTTGAAGTTAAAGATGATATAAATTTACTATTGATTTCCTTGCAAATTAGGCTAGTAATTTTTTTAAGAGTGAGATATATCGAAATTTAATACCAAAATATTTTCTTCTTGGTAGAATGGTGAAAGAGTCTTCAATAATCTGTATGCAGATTAGCAACAATAAATTCCCAAGCTGTGAACACAAAGTTCTGACAGTGAAATTGCATTCCAGGAATAAAGCCTTGTGCAAGTATGCATTGGGAAGGGAACTGTCATTCCTAAAGATCTGTTTGGAAGAAAAAAAAAAAGAGTATATAGATTCAGCTACATATTCAAGAACACGATTTTAAAGCACTTTTCTCTTAGAGACAGTGTGTGAGCAGATTAGAAAGCAGGACTTGGGGTCCTGGGTCAGAGCAACCTACCAGGGCCAGAGGGAGAGCTTGCTGGCTTGAGTGAGAATCCCAGCTTGGATCCAACAATTTGTTAGTATCTTCAGTTACAAAATAGATTTGGTGAAGTTGCCTGCTGTCCTAGTGTGGGGTTTGAACCACTGCCCTCTTCCCACCTTAACCCACTGTATCTATCCGGTGCCACCAGCATGTACACGGTGTGTATACATGGGTATAAAGCCGTCTACTGAAGCACGGGGGGCCTTTCAGGAGCCAGGTCCCTGAAGAAAACTGCTGTCCCTCCTGTAGTACCATCATTTGCCAATAGCTCCTCACCTAAGGGTGGAGCCTCATGAGCTCCTCCTCCACCCAGGCTGGAGTTTTGACTGGCTCCTTCTTGTGCAGAGTTTGTGCAGCCAGGCAGAGTCCCTGTGTGCAGTCGTGGTTGGAAAACATGCCAAAGCACTCCTCCTCAACCTCTGGATCTTATGCTCTTTCTGCCACGTCTTTCACGATCATCTCTGAGCCCTCGGAAAAGTTTTGTTTAGATGTCGCATTTCGGGATGAGCACTCCACAGTCACTTATTTTCTGTATTTCGTCCTGTCATGATTCTCTTGTGAACCATTATCTACCGCAAAAAGGGGGCTTCTTTGATGAGAACTGCATTCATGTATGAACACAAATATAAGTATGCAGTATTACACTGTAACACTACAAAACTGATAATCTATCCTTAGTTAAGTAAAATAGCACACGCAGTGCTGAGCATGTTAGGATTCTAACTCATGGTACGTTAGCGTGGTATGTTTGCATGTGGTGTATTCATGTGTAGCACATGCATGTGAGAATGCAGATTGGTATACTGTGCAGGTACCTGTGAGGGCAGAGCAGGGTACTGGGGTCTGGGATGCTTTCTCTGTCATTCTCTGCCCTTGAGGCAAGATCTCTCGGCCATCCAGAAGCTCAGGAGGCTTGCTTTCCAATGAGCGCTCAGAACCACCTGTCTGAACCTCCAGCAGTAGGGTTAATGAAGACACACACAGCCATATCAAATATTTTCACATGGGCACTTGGAGTTCATACTCAGGAGAGCACAACTGGAGAGCACATGCTCTTGCCACTGAGCCATCCTGCCAGCCCCCATCTACCCATTATTTTGATAACAGTGAGTAGAATAAACTTCGATTATAAGCAACATTGGCTAATTATAATCTCCACTCTGTTTTGCATAATTTGTATCCCATCACCAATATTTCACTAGACTGAGTACCGTACTTAAACTTTTCAAATGAAAATTCATCTCAATAGCCTTATAAAGTGCTGCTAAATACAAACCACCAAATCTTCTTCAGGTTTTTGTGTCACCCATAAACCTAACGCTGATGAATCTGTAACTTTTCTGGAACATCTGATGCTTTCTGTGACCCAAATCTATGTTGTTCGCCTCGGTATGGTGACTATCAGAGCATATCTCCTGGATTTGGTTGTTTGTGTAGGGTGGGGGCAAGTTGGAGATCCACAGCTAGCCAGATGTCTGCTTTCTATGACCACAAGTGGAATCTTACCACAGCATAATTTAGTTTTTCTATACAGGGTACATATTTACTAACTTCAAAGTAATGCATAACCAAGATCTGCTACACTGACAGTAAGGAACCATAGAGCAGGGGTCTAAATAAAGGAGGGAAGGAAGTGAGAAGAGGACACATCTCATGCATGCTATACACCAAGTCTAACATGTACTCATTTGTTAGTTATAGCTCTAATTTTACAACCATAGGCTAATTTCAAGGCTCTGGTCAATGCCTGCTGCTATACAGTATTACGTAATATTTCAGCAAACTGCAAGTTGAAGAAGATGATGTAAGCATTTATCATATAGATGTTTTATCATTAATAAGTACTGTTTAGCATTTTCTACATAATTGTTTTGATCTTTCCATTAAAGGTATGTTTATCTTTTCAATGAAGTACTTTTCATCTACTGTCTAAATGCAAAAAAAAAAAAAAAAAAAAAAAGAAAAAAAAAGAATTTTCCGCAATTAGAAGAACTTTTGTAAAAAGATTTTGAATCTTTATTTTGTGCTATTGAGACAGGATTGCTCTGGGTAGTCCAGACTGGCCAGGAACAACACATACACCCGATTCACTCTCAAGTTCACACTCTTCTTGTTTCAAAGTCACCAATGCTAGTATTTCAGGCAGGTGCTACTGGGTTCAGCTTTTGAGTCTTGCTCAGGACCATACTAATATGAAGTCTACAGGCTTTATGCAGATCTCATTAAATATAGGCAAAAGCAGATTATCTTTTTATTTCTTTATTGTGAATGGCATGCTTACTTCATACCTCAAATAGGACATTTAGACTTAAAGAGAAAGCCCTTTCCCTTGCATGTTTATACCTTTGACCATCTTCCTGAAAAGTTTCAGTTTTAAGTATCATTTGGAACAGAATTACATCGGAGCACATAGCAATATATCTCCAGTTAAAGATTTGTTTTTAATGCCTCTTTAATTCAGGATTTCATTTTTATTGCTTGAGACAGCTAAGCTCTGCAGCTGTTTTCATTTACCCCTGTCTATGGTCTTCCTTTGCAGTTGACTGTTTCCCAAGGGATCCCTAAAGTAACAAATTCTAAATTAAACCTTAGAAATATGTACCAGTCATTTATATTAACTTTCCTTTCCTTTCTATTGAAATTACTATAGTTAATAATGCCCAAATTTGATTCTCAAAACCAATGATGGGCACCACTCCTTATTTTTAACAGATTGAACTTCACCAACTTGTAATCTACTGTAACACAAACTTCTTAGCTGAAGAATCGTGTTGTGACGTGTCAGCTACTAAGGTAGGTTAATTTTCTTACCATGTGAAACACGAACAAATGCATTATCATTTAACTAATGCTTTCATTACCTGTAGATTCTATGGGTAGGACACTGTGAAGCATCTCAGCTGAGTCTGCCCAAACTTCAACCCCAGGGTTTGCACACTGAAATTTGATTATGATTTGTCCTCACTTCGGAGTCAGTGTAACTAGAACGGGACTTATTGTACACCTCCCCCCTGGGCCTGGTGCCCTTGTTCCATGTGAGGACCCGGCTGACCGGAGGTGCTGCCCACACTCAAATCAGATCTTTCCCCCATAGTTGTCCCCACACCTTAAGATTAGTCAACCTGTCTGTGTCTGTCCGGTTCATCTTTGCTTTGTGACTCATTTCATTCCCTTCTTCCTTTCCCCACCGATGCCAAATCCACTTTCACTTTGTGCCTAGCTGTCAACCCCTCGTGCCAACTGCCTTTCCAATGCGCACTTTTCCCTTGACGTACCACCAGAACGAGTCTTTAAATCATAGAATTGTGTATTTGTTTGTTGTCTTCCAGCACATATTTGTTGTTAACTATTGATCAAGTAGACAATATACTAAGGAAAAAGACCAATTAACATGAACAAAGTTCCTATCTCGTCATCTTTTTTTTTTTTTTCAAAGTCCCAGGTGATTCCCCATCAGCAACGAAATAACAATCCAGTGGATTAGGTTCCCATATTAAATAGTCCCGACCTCACTGTACAATACTCCTGTATGTGCTTAATTCCAAGAAAGAAAAAATTCAGTGCTTTCTGTGTCTCCCTGCAATAGTCACCTGTGTCAGCCCATATTATGAATATAACTATACTTGTTTTTAACCGATTTAAGAACAGATTAGTAGTCGATGATTTACTTTCGAATTCTTTTATATCTAGCACTTTGTTAGTAGGAGATTGTCAAATTAAGCATTGTATCAGTTTGTTTTCTATTGCTGTGATGACCAATGGGGGAGAGAGCGGTTTTGGCTTATGGTTCCAGAGGAAGAGTCCAGAGTGGTGGTGGGGGAGGGCACGCCTGGCAGCAAGCAGCTGGTGCTGGAAGCTGAGAGATCACATCTTCAGCCTCAAACACAAAGTAGAGAGAAAGAACAGCAAAGAGGGCGGGTCCATGGGCTCTCAAAGCCATCCCTGCAGTGACATACTCCACCGGCAAACCATCACCACTTACTCAAACTGCTCCATATACTGGGGACCAAGTGCTGACATATCTGAGCTCTCGGGGACCATTTCTCCTTCAAACCACACATAGCAGAATCTTCCTTTCTTGATTGCTCAACTACGAAAAGAAAGGCTTGCAGAAGGGAATAATTCTAAAAACAAAACAAACAAGCAAACACCTTCCCTAAAGAACATACGAAAAGTAAAAGTCCAAGATTTAAAGCTTTGTTTCTTTGGATCTTAAATTTCCTCCCCCAATGGTTACACTTACTAGGAAATCTATATGAAATTTTTAATTAAAAACTCTCATAATATCTCTCATGCAGTTTGAGTAGTAGAGTGAAAATCTCACTAAACAATGCAAAGTCTTTCAAATATTATGCCTTCTTACATAATTTGGCTGTATAAAGCTCATATTGAACCCAGTTTATAGATCTCATTCCAAGCAGGATAAAAGTCTGCCAAATATCTTTCTATAAATACCTAAAAAAAATAGCTTGAATGCCAATTTACAGAATAAAGCTACCCAAGCTTCCTGAGCCTATACCTTTAATCATGGAGGTTTTCTTACTCCAAAAGTTTGATTTAAGTAATTATGATTATGTTTTATTGGTGTTCTTAAAATAACCGTTTCTTTTTCATTTAAAAGTAAGGCAATGATGGTCTTATATTTTTAGATGTTATGTTCTTGACCAATATTCATTGCCTTATGTTAATCTGTTGCTATGAAAAATAGGTTAGATATATATAGGTGAAGATTTGGATAAAACAGCTTAGTAATTAAAGTCTGACAAGATTTCACACACGATTAATAGTTTTTCTTTTTAATTTCACAGTGCTAACCTTAAAATTTAATAAAGATAAATGTTTATAAGGATTATTCGGAACTTAGTTTTATATTTGCAAATGAGTTAGGAATTCATCCCAACTGTGTAAAAATAACCAAACACAGTATTTTTTGTGTTGACAATTATTTGTGGTGATGACATCAGTATCCATTCTGTAATTAAAATAAATAGAACTCTGACATATTTCACAAACAGGAATATATGAATAGGATAATCATACAAAAGCCAACTGTCTCTGCTTTTTGAAACCAACTGTCTTTGCTTTTTAATTTTGAAAAAGTCTCAACAGGGGCTAGATAGATGGCTACGTGGTTAGGAGTGCCTTCGGTACAGCCATAGTGACCTGAATTCAGATCCCAGCACCTAAATGACAAGCTGAATGTTATCTTTTGCTCCCTATAGTCCTGATACTATAGTAGGTGGCCAGGGATAGGATCATTAACTGAGGCTTGCTCCTGCCACCCTCTTCTAATACTGCAAGCTCCAGAGTCAGGAAGAGACTCTTCCTCAAATAAAAAGATTGATCATGATAAGGGAGGACAACTGAAAACCCTCTGTACCTTCTGCGGGGGCTCACAGTTGCACGCACATACACACACCACATACATATATACCACGCCCATTGACACCCATAATAAATGTTTACATAAATAAACATATAGATGTTTTAAACTAAAAAAAATGCCATTATATCTATAAATTTTAAGTTTTATATTGTAATTTTGAACACATGGTTTTGTGTTAATATTTTGCAAGGAATTTCAATGGTGAAGTTTATTAAAAACTATCTCTAGGCATGCTCTTTTCTTTCCAATAAGTTAGATTTTTAGTCTCTGAAATAATAAAATTTCACATGACTGAGAGTAAAAGGCAAATATATATATAAAAAATAATCAATCATCTGGGAGGAATGGACTGTCTGTGTAGCAATCTTATTTCAACTGAATATAATTTTTAGGCTTTTGGGTTGAAAATTTATTAAGATACCTAATGATCATCAAATCAATCTAGAAGCAATGCACATGGAATTCCTAGTGCTAAATGCAAGAATCTGGTCACAGCATATCTGGTGCTAAGTTGTGGGTGTTTTTTTATTATTATGGGTTTTATTGTTATCTCTAGGATTAGAGTGATACCTATCATTCAAAAACATTTCATGAGTTTTTATTTTCAAAAATTCAAGAAGAGAATAAACATCAGATACAAAGATAAAAATATCTACTGTGGGCTCACCCCACATTAGCAAACCATGGAGACACGTTTCTTTGCATAGCTTGAACGTGTTTTTCCAATCACATATAATTTGTGGTATGCAAAGCAACCAGTGAGTCCTACCACCTGTTACTTCCTCTTCACTAACGCTGCAAATAAAGGGTTAATCCTGAGGAGCAGTGTGTTACCAGGTGTCAGTGAGAGAAGATACAAAGTTGACATTCTCTTTAGACTCATGAATTATTTTCTTCCTCTAGGCTTTAAAGCACTTATTTTAGTTGAGTATGTATATGTGGTGTGTATGTGTGTGTGCTCTTGATTACAGCTGCAGAAAAGCAGAAAAGAGAGCATCAGAGGCTAGAGTAACATCTGGGGATAAGTCCCCAAATGTAGCTGCTGCGAATTGAACTTGGGTTCTCTGCAAAAAGCAGCCCCGGCTCTTAGCTGCTGTCTGTCTAGCGTCCTGTACTAAATTAAAAGGGGGAAATCCTGTCTCTTTATAAGTATGTTCAGCATGTTCTAAACTCACCAGATTCAGAACCCTCCGATTTCATATCTTTAAAGAACTCTGGAATAAAATAGGCTGTATTTTGGGGCTGGTGAGATGGCTCTGAGATTAAGAGCACTGTGTGGTCTTCCAAAGGACTGGAGTTCAATTCCCAGTACCTACATGGCAGCTCACAACTATGTGTAATGCCAATTCCAAGGATCTGACACCTTCACACTAATGCACATAAAATTAAATAAATTATTTTAAAAATTAAATAATTATCATCTTAGAGTGTAAAAGGAAATAATTTCCAGCTTTACTTATCATTATAACTAGACAGATAGATTAGACAGCTTGTTCCAGTACCTATATTTTATCAATTAAATCTACATGCATTTAAACTTTTGCTTGCCAGATAATATTGACACTTTGCTTCTGTGAAGAATTTTATTGTAAGTATGTACTGTTATCATTGCACAATATTACAACACTTTAAAATTTCTCACTAAAGCAATGTTTTTCTATTTCATTTCTGTGCCGTCCGTGTGGTTAAGTGCACTGGAGGCTTAGTGATAGAGTGAAAGTGTGATCAATTTCTACACATGGATGATAGTGCTTGGTTTATAAGAAGGAAGTTGGGCAGGCAACAGACTCTCTGGTTTGATGGGAACTCGCAGCAAGAACTGACACCATTCTCTAAATTCTCTTTGGGGGTTTTAGTGTCCAGAGCAAGAGGACTTCGGAAGTACCACGTCTTCATGGGTGACTTCTCGTGCTGGTGAAATATCCTCACATCTGCTGGGAAAGCAGGAGCCTGAAGATGCATGCCAGTGCGTCCCGAACCAGGTATGCCAGCTTTCATAGGTGCCCGCTGCAAGGTCGTACCACACCTGGGCTTCTTGGCTGTGTGGTACACCGATGGTACCTTGTGCCTAATGAAATTTCAAATACATACACCCACTACAGTGGGCCAGACAGAGGAAAGAAAAGATTGAGTTCCTGGAACTTTATTTGCCTTCCAATGGGTGAAAGTTACAATTATTAGAAAATTGAGGAGTATAACAGGGGAGTTCTGCATACATAACACATGCTGGGAATGGGCTGCCATTGGCAAATTCAGTGCTGGAGGAAAAGCACCTGGTTTTCAACAGAGACACGCAAAGATACACTGCAAGTACTTCTCCTTTGCTGTCTGTTGACTGTATCTGTTCAGTATCTGCAAATTTTCAACCAGCTGTCTCCTTCCTATTAATGGCTGTCTCCGTGGGGCATATTGAATTTATGCGCTTCTTCCGAACCTATGTGGTGTTTGGATCAGTGATGCTGGGCCAATGGACCTCTATGAATATCCTTTGTATGTTCATAGCAGTCATGAGGCCTGTTCCAAAATGAAGCAATTAGAGAGACAAATGATGATAGGCAAACAAGATAGGTAGTAGGTAGACAGGTAGTTATGCAATAGATAGATCAGACAGATGATAGATAGATAGATAGATAGATAGATAGATAGATAGATAGACAGACAGACTGACAGATAGATGACAGATGATAGACATATGACAGATAGATGATAGATAGACAGACAGACAGGTAGATAGGAAGAAAGAAAGAAAGAAAGAAAGAAAGAAAGAAAGAAAGAAAGAAAG